CCTTGCTGGCCCAAGCTCTTGGCCCTTTGCCTGTTAAGGCCGAGTCACTAGGGTCACGTGGACACTACCTCTCTGCTGTACTGCTATCGCTGTGCTTGTTTCTATGAGTTCTTCTCTTGTCTGTGGGTGTCTGTTATCCCTTGTTGAATATGTATCTGCGTTTTTCTGTTCCTGTTTCCTTTGCTTTCGGTTTGGCACCTCCGCTTCAACCCCCAGGTCTTCATATATGGAGTCCCCCCACCCCGTGGGTGTGTTCTTGTCTGTGTATGTGGAGTCCTTCCCATCACTGCCGTGTGTGTGTGTGTGTGTGTGTGTGTGTGTGTGTGTGTGTGTGTGTGTGTCTGTCCCCATGTCCTTGTCCTTGTCTGTGTATTCGGAGTGTCGTGTGGTTCCCTCCCCCCATGTGTGTCCTTGTCTGTGTATGCGGAGTCCTCTCTCACCCCCACCTCCCACCCCCATGTGCAGAGTCCGCTCCCACCCCAGTCTGTGTGTCCTTGTCTCTTCTGTACGCCAGCATCCTTTTACTTTGAGTCATACATAATTTGAGAGTTGTCCACGTTCCTTAGACAGCAGTTCTGTTTTCTGTTCTAAGTTTATCTCAGGGGCTTTTATTATATCAGAATCATTGGGTTTTGTTAGAGTTACAGGTTTAGAGTAATGTGAACTTTCAGTATTTTTACTGTAAGACAAGAGTATTGATAATCAAAATGATAACTCCTTAAGGTACTTAAAAATTTTCTATATAGGCACCAAAGAATTGTATATGTAGAAACAGAGAGATTATATAATGTTCTTAAAACCTTTCCAATACAAGCTAGTTCCTTAGTTTGGTTTAATGTAAAGAATACATTTTATCTCTGTTCTTGGGGGATTTCCAAGCCTACATTCAGGTTCTGTGAAGAAAGAAGTGGGAAGATTCACAGGGCCCAGCATAATCGTTGGTCCTGTGATATGATTTATTATTATGAAGGTATAAAAGGAAAACAGGCATAGAAGGAAATGTGCATGGGGTAATATCTGTGGGAAATGAAGCATAAGTTTCTCAGACTCTTCTCTAAGTGGAGTTATGTCGGATCATGCTTAATTCAGTAAGTTGTGACAGCATGCCTAGAGTGTCCTGGACCAGGAAAGCTCATTAGTGACTCAGGGTTTATTGGGAGTAGGTACATTGACACCATCTGCCTACTGTGGACCAAAATTTTAGACTTCCAGAAGGAAAACCAACACTCAGCATATAGAAAACAAGTCCTCAGCATACATCATATTATCTGTTTTCTGTCGGAACTCTTCAGAATTCAAGTTTCCAAACCCCAGGCAAGGGCCAGCCTAACAAGCAGTCTTAGGCATATCAGCTCCTCTGCACACTGTAATAGTTAATTACAAAGCAATTTGCCAGGATAATTTAGCTCCTTGATGTCCATCATGAGAGTCTCCTATTGACTTGTTAGTTTGCATTTTAAGTTGCTGACCTTTGTAATATTTTTTTTTGGTTCTTCCTGAACACTAGGGAATAGACTAAATGTTGTCTATTTTATTTCAAAGTAATGTAGTTGGTTACAGGTTATTTATTTATTTATTCGTTTGTTTGTTTTTCAAGACAGAGTTTCTCTGTGTAGTTTTGGTGCCTGTCCTGGATCTCGCTCTATAGACCAGGCTGGTCTCGAACTCACAGAGGCCTGGCTCTGCCTCCCGAGTGCTGGGATTAAAGGCGTGCGCCACCATGGCCCAGCTGTTTATTTTAATACAAAAATATGTTAAGTGTGAATTTAATTAGATTTTAAACATTTTCATTGCAGTGAGGTTTTGTTTATTTCAAAGTGGTTTAATTTGTGTAATTTACATGCATTTTCCACTAAGGGCTTTGAGATTGCTATTGACACCTATGCCCAAACTGAGCGGTGATGACACAGCCTTTAATTCACACACTCAGGAGGCAGAGGTAGGTGGATCCCTGAGTTCCAGGACAGCCAAGGTGTGGGGCGTTTACCCAACCACCCCCACAGTTCCCCAGAGTTTTCTTGAGTGCGAGCAGCAGGAAATATTAGATAGAAGGATTTATTGCGGAGAATATCGCGGAGATAAACAGATAGAAAATAAAGGATAGCCTCGAGAGGGCCTGGAACCTATTCCAACGGGCCCCGACTGTCTCTGCCCCAGGGTTTTTATAGAGACGCCAAGGGGTGGAGCAAAAGACCTCCTTTCCCAGCACAGCCAAGTGCAGACCATCTCAGACACCTGCACTCAGGCCCGTGGTCCTAATCATCCTCTATGTGGACCTGCTGGGTAAAGCCACGAGGAACCTGAGAACCGGCTCCCACACCAAGGCTATACAGAGAAACCCGTCTCAAAAAACCAAAACACAAACAAGCAACCTATATACCCTTTAAATTATATTTTTAATCTTATTGATAGACTTTTTTCTTATTTTATTGGATTTTGCTTAAGACTCCTTTGCTCTTTCATTTGGTTACTCTACTGTTTTACTCTTTATTTTTTGTCTTTTTTTGAGTAATTTATTAATTTTTGAGACAGTGTCTCATGTATCCCAAGTTAATCTAGAACTTAATATGTAGCCATACCTCTGAGGTCAGGTCTGCAGTTGTATGCTGCCATACCTAGTTTATGTAGTGCTGGAAATGGACTCAGGTGATTCTTACGCTTCTTACGTTCTAGACAAGTATTGTACCACCTGAGTAACATGCTTAGTCCCTAGTTTTTGTTTTTAAGATGTTCACCTGATCAGATGTTTTGGAAGTACATACCTAGACAGAATTTGTTTTCTCAGGCTTCCTAATGCTTCGATCATTTGATACAGTTCCTTATGTTGTGGTGACCCCCGACCATAAAATTATTTCACTGCTACTTCATAATTGTAGTTTTGCTACTGCTATGAATAGAAAATATCTAATATGCAGGATATCTTATGGGTCGACCCACAGGTTGAGAATCACTGACTTAGATGACTGAAATTTGACCCCTTGATCTCTGGAACCTACATGGAAAGAACCGACTCCTGAAGGTTGTCCTGATTGCAGCACACATGTTGTGCTATGCACGTAGCGACTTGTGTACACACACACACTAAAAAGTAAAAGAATGTTGAATGAAGGAAAAACACTAGGTGGAGGTGGTTCTTTTGGAGATTCAAATCTTTGGGAACTAGCCTGAGAGATTTAGTTTTGAAAATAGGTAGAACATCTCAGTCATAAAAACTAAAGAAATGAGAGACATGTGAACATGGAAAATTTCATGTAAAAGAAGCATTTCAAGAGTTGGGGATGTGGCTCAGTTGATGAAGTACACCCTACGATGCTGAAGCCCTGGATATTGTCCTCAGCACTGCATAATACTGGGTGTGGAGGGCATGCCTATAATCTCAGGATGTGGGAAAGGCGGAAGAAGGATCAAGTTCAGGGTTATCCTCAGCTGTGTACCATGTTTGAGACTCATCTCAAAAAATGCATACGTACTCCCCCCCACATAGGCAGGTTGGGATAATTTTCTTTATGGCCTGTCATAAGAGCAGAGCATCGAAGCGGAGTGTGATGACTCAGGCCTGTAGCCTCAGCACTGTAGTCCCTGCAGGCCGAGTCAGAGGGTCATCATGAGTTCAATGCCATCTTGCCTTAACAGTCAGAACAACAGAACTCCTCAAAAAGGGGTCTAGAAAGATGAATCATGGTCAAGAGTACTGGCAGCTCTTCCAGAGGACCTGGGTTTATGCCCAGCACTGCATGTGGAGGCTCACACCTCTCTCTGTTTCTAGGGGATCTCACCTCCCTTTCTGGTCTCCAAAGGCACCAGGCATGGGTGTGGTACACAGATTTACTCAACAAAACAATCCCTCTTCCAAACAAAAACAGAAAGAAAGGAGCGGGAACACTGTCTTCTTTTCTGAATTGTTACTTTGTTGTCCTTTTTATATTATCTTGGGAAACTTTTGTAACACATATGCATTTTCATAGTCTGCTTATTTCTATATAAGAAAAATAGAAAAATATTTATTGTGTGTATGTAAATGATATGTGTGCTTTTGTGTACATAATAAGTTTTCTAATTAAGCAGCCTGTGTGCGTTAGGTTAGTCTTTTATTCCTGGAATTTCGGGGATTATGACCCAGAATCTGCTACCTTCCTTGACAGAAATTCTTGAGTGTCTAAGTTACATTGTCCTTCTCCTCTCATGTCCTTCTCTTTTGTTTTTCCTTTACCTAGCACCTGGGCATCACTGGAACACAGTGTATGAGAGAGGATTCTGATTTGTCATCTCCTGTAGGGTACCTGCTGGGTCTTGACTAGAACTTTGTAGCTCACCGAGGAGGAAAGGAGAAGCTGAGGGACTGCTGTGCTGTGCTTTGCTCTGACACTGGTGTCATACTATGCGAATGCTTCTGACTTTGTGATTTAGGAGTCTCCTTGGCCTCTGGATATGATTTTTTCTTTTTTCTTTCTTTTTGTTCTTCTTTTTTTTTTTTTTTTGAGACAAAGTTTCTCTGTGTAACAGCTCTGGCTATCCTGGAACTCTCTTTGTAGACAGGGGAGCCTTGAACTCACAGAGATCTGCTTGCCTCTGCCTCCTGAGTATTGAAATTAAAGGCATGTACCACTGCTGGTTGGCTGGATTTGATTTTTTAAAACTTCAGATAAAATAAACTTTATAATATATCCATGAGAACTATCTGAAGGGTATTGCTCACATTTATTTCTGAGCTTATGCTTTTTACATTTCTGAAACTGGGACTCCCTCATGACTTGGTGAGCACTCAGCACCTGCTGTGTGTCACTGACAGTCTCGAGCCTGGTGTCTCTGTGTGTATGTAGAGGCAGAGAGTGGATGAGAGAGAAGGAAAGACAAAAGAAAATTTGAATAGAAAGCAAATTCTCAGTGATTTTTCAGAATTGTCAGAAGTAAAGTTATTTATTACAAAACAATTCCTAAAAGCATGTTTTTTTTTTAAGTAATTAAAAATATGGAGTTTCAAAAAAAATTTTTCCCAACAGGTGGGAAGGAGAAACCAAAAACAAGTGTAGAAGACTTACAAATTAAAAAAGTAAAGAAGAAAAAGAAAAAGAAACACAAAGAGAATGAAAAACGAAAGCGTCCAAAAATGTATAGCAGATCTATTCAGACCATGTGTTCAGGACTGCTGTCTGATGCTGAAGATCAAGAAGCCAGAGGCATCTTAAATGATAACATAAAGGACCACATCGGAAAACATTTGGATACCGAGAACCGTGACTCCAAAATTCCTGATAACAGTGAATTTCCATTTGTCTCCTTAAAGGAACCACGAGTTCAGAAGAACCTTAAAAGGTTGGACACTTTGGAGTTCAAGCAGCTCCTTCATATTGAACACCAGCCTAATGGAGGTGCGGCCGTCATCCATGCCTACAGTGATGAACTCTCCCGCCTGTCTCCTGTGGAGATGCAGAGATTTGCAGAAGAATTTGTGGGTTTAGTGTTCAGTGAAAATGAAAGTTCTGCAGCTTTCTATGTAATGGGTATTGTTCATGGGGCAGCTACTTATTTACCTGACTTTTTAGACTACTTTTCATATAATTTTCCCAATTCACCAGTGAAAATGGAGATATTGGGAAAGAAAGATATAGAGACAACGACTATGTCCAATTTTCATGCTCAGGTAAGAGGTTTTTAGTTTTTGTTTTTTTTGGGATTTTTTTTTTAATAGCTTTTAATTGTACATTTTAGGTAGACTTGTGTTTTTCCTCTTAATTTTACTGTAGGTTTTAGGTAAAAAGGTAAGACTACAGTGAAACTGTTTGGGAGTAACTTCTTGATGTGAATTTTTAACTTTAAATTTCAATTTCTGCTTTTTTATTCTACTTAAAAATCACTTAATGAAATACTTAAGATTCTGGGTCTACCCTCCCCCCCTCATATCCCCCTTTTTCTTTGGACAAGGATTTCACTTGGACCAAGTAAAATTAATTTAACTAGGTATTTTCCAGTTCTTAAAATAGTTTCTTTTAAGCCGGGCGGTGGTGGCGCACGCCTTTAATCCCAGCACTCGGGAGGCAGAGGCAGGCGGATCTCTGTGAGTTCGAGGCCAGCCTGGTCTCCAAAGCGAGTTCCAGGAAAGGCGCAAAGCTACACAGAGAAACCCTGCCTCGAAAAACCAAAAAAAAAAAAAAAAAAAAATAGTTTCTTTTAAACCTGTAAATTACCTACAACTATCGTCTTTGTAATAATGCTCTATAAGTGCTTAGCACTGGGTCCATCAAGTTAGTAGGTGCTAAAATACATGCTGCCTGGTATAAAATCTATTGTGATACGAAGCAATCACTACTTAGTGTGTAATTACGTGAGAACATTAGTGCGTATTTGCCTTACTTCCTGTTGTTGTGAAGAGACACCATCACCAAGGCAACATATAAAACACATGGTGAGGACTATGGTGGCAGGCAGGAGACAGACACAGGGCCTGGCTTGAGCTATTAAAACCTCAAAGCCCGTCCCCCAGTGACACACCTTCTCCAACAAGGTCATACTTCCTAATCCTTCATAAACAGTCTACCGACTGGGAGACAAAGCCTCAGGAGTTTGAGGCTTTTTAAGTTGATGTGTGTGAAATGAATGAAAAATGGTGCTGGTGGCGGCGCTGGTTACCGGCGGAAAGGTCATGGTCATGACAGAACCTGGTTGCTTAGTAGTGGAGAGCTTTATTAGGAGGAAGGGGGTGGGGAGCATGTGCGGAGAGCAGAGGGAATGATAGTGAGGTGGGGGGAGAGAGCAGAGCAGAGAGAGGATGGGGTCTGTTTAAGGGCTCCTGGTGAAGTGGGCTTATGGAGCTACACCATGCATATGCTGATTGCGTGACCATACCACGCGCACTAATGACGTAAGATGCAAGACACCCTTTGCTTAACTCCTGAACTGCGCATGTGCAGTCATGTAGCTGGAGTGAGGGCAGAATTCTAAGTGTGGCCTGTCTAAAAGCCAGTGCCTTTTGTCACTGAACCAAAGGTGAAGGGAAGTTCAGACTAGAGCCGGTTGACTATAGTTGGTTTTTTTAATTTTTAAAAATGTATTTATTTTTATTTTATGTGCATTGGTGTTTTGCCTACATGTATGTCTGTGTGAGGGATCCTCAGGAACTAGAGTTACAAACAGTTTTGAGCTGCCATATGGGTGTTGGAAATTCCTCTGGAAGAGCAATCCATGCTCTTAACTGCTGAGCCATCTGACTATAGTTGTTGGTTTGTTTGTTTTTTTCCCCCGGGGGGTGGTAGTAACTGATGTAACATTCTAGTTTATGGGGAGGATGGAGGAAGTCTCCGGGAGATGTTTCTCTACTGCAAGATTAGCTAATAGACTATTCTGAAGTTGTTAGCACTACTAGGCATAGAACAAAATCTCCTCCTTATCCTGGGCCTTCCCTTTGCTGGAGTGTTTTCTTTCAGTTGATGTTCCCAATAGTGTGCTTGGTGTGTATTCTGCAGCATTCAGTAGCCTGGAAAATAGGGCAGTATTTACGTTTTAATGTATGTATGAGGGCTATTCCCTCAACAGCATATTTGAGAACTAGAATTTACATATTTTTAGAATGGAAAGGAAGCAGTAGAGCATTCATTACTAGCCATCTCGTTTTGTAGAATTCCAGATAGTAACTTGTCTGAGAGCTACTGGGTTCAGGGCTGAGTCAGGACTGGCATGTAGTCTATCATTGAGTAGTAAGTTATACTGTAGCATGCTTTTATTTACACTTTAAAATAGTTAAATATTGATAGACTTTAGTGTATTTTTAGCAATGAAGAGACATACAATAATTCCCAATGAATACTCCAACGCCGAGGGACTTTGAACAGTGGGTAAATATTGGGGAGTGAGAGTGGCAGAAGCAAGAGGAGGAAGTCCTGCTGCCTAGGTCATTTTTCTTGTCATTAATGTGTGTAAGTGACCTACTGTCACTTACTGTGCTAGATGGCAAGTTTTATACTATATTTCTTAGACTTCAAGTTGTTGGCACAGTATCATAAATGTTCTTGCTGTCATACTTTGCAAGTGTCTTTCAATAATTCTTAATGCGATAAACACATTCATGTATTAATGGTGATGTTTTTAAGTTAACTTTAAAAATGAATGTAGGAATTACAGTAAATGATAAGACTTTCATCTCACGGTGGCTGGAAGGATGGCCCAGTGAGTAAAGGTACTTACTGCCAAGTCTGACTGCCTGAGCTTGCTCCCTGGGACGCACTGGGCAGAAGGAGAGAACCAACTTCTGTAGATTTTTCTCTGATCTCCACATGTGCCTCCCCCAGTAAGTAAATAAAATGTAATGAAAAAACGTTTTCATTTTATGTAATATTTATAAAATGAAAACTTTGCTTTAGTTATTAAATAAAATGAGGAGCTGGATTTGTTAACAGGTCCAGTGTGTGAATCTCAGGAGCCACTGAGCTTGGTTGCCATTGTCTTTTAGTCTTCTTCAGGTAAACCATATAGGCAGTTCTAGGCAAATGCTGCTTTTCTGTTGCTAGCTGTGACTCTGACCCCAGGTCTTTTACTCTGTTGACTCAACCTTGTCATCTACAAGGACTGCTTTTGATTCTTAGAATCTCTGCAAAATCCACATTCCTTTATCAAATCCTCTTACTTGTTTAGTGTGGAGCAAAAATACATAATGAACTTCTCATTTATAATTTCCTCACATTGAATTCCTTTATTTTTTTTCTTTCTCTGCATACCCTTGGCTGTCCTTTAACTTGCTTTGTAGATCAGGCTAGCCTCGAACTCACAGAGATCTGCTTGCCTCTGCCTCGAGAGTGCTGGGATTAAAGGTGTGTGCCACCACACCTGGCTGTATTCTTCTTTCTTTATTTTACTTCATTTTCTTTTATTGAAAGCTTAGGAAAAATCAAAGAGATCAAATCAGACAAAAAAGCCTAGGTGACTGAGGCTGTCTTCAGAGTGGGACTAGCTTTGGACTTACCCTTAAGCACTGGTTTAATGAAACTGGAGTCTGAAGACTAACATGTTAGAAAAAAGTGAGCAGACTTACTTAGATCAGTTCTTTCTAATCTCTTGTTCTCCCAGTGAGAGCTGTTCTGGTGTTGATTTGTTTGTTTTAGAAATAGGAGTTGGTGAAGCCCAGGGTGGTCTAGTCTCTTACATAGCTGAGGTTGGAGTTGAGTTCCTGATCCTCCAGCCTCTACCTCCTAATTGCTGGAATTGCAGGTGTACAGCACATGTAGTTTTAAAAGCTGTGTCTCTTAACCTGTTTCCCTCCAGGAACTGATCCCTCTTCCCATAAATCTTATTGAAGGATAATGTGTACACAGACAAGTGTATCATTAGAGGTGAATACTCAGGAAGTGAACAGACTCATTGAGTTCAGAGCTGAAAGGAGCTAGAGGTCTTTCTCAAACCATTCTTTATCACTACTCTGCCAATCTCCCTGGACTCTAACATGTAAATGAATACAGTTATATATTATCTTAAGTGTATGTGTGTGTGCCAGAGTGTGTGTATGTGTATCATGTGTGTGAAAGAACCCGGGGATGTCAGAAGAGTGCGTCGGATCCCTGGAACTGCAGTTGCACACAACTGTGAGCCGCATGTGGGTTCTGGGATTGAAGCCAAGTCCGTGAAGAGCAGTGAATGCTCTTACTCATCATGCCATTTCTCCAGCCCTAACACATCAACACCCAGGCAACTATTATACTGAATTCAGACAAAAGGTTTACATTTTTTGAACTCACATTTAATGGTACATGTTTTGTTATGTCTTTCCTTTCAGTATTATGTTTGTGGCATCCATCTTGTAATAGCAGTGTTCATTTTTCTTACTGTTGGGTAGTATTCCATTGTACATATGTATCATAACTGTCCTAATTACTATAAGTGGACATTTTAGTTGTTTTTACTTTGGTGGTGTTACAGTAGGGGCTCTGAATATTTTTGTTAATGTGCTTGATGTGCATATGTGTTTGTGTTGAAGTCTACCTATCATTTGAATATCAGGATAAAAAGGTGCACAGATACTTGATTTTGATAGGTTAATTACTGGTTTTTCAAAATTCTTGTACCAGTGTGTATTCACATCAATAGTGAACTGTACTTTTGGTCACAGTTCTTTTTCATCTAACCATTGTGGGAACTCAGCAGTAGTATTTCCCTGTAGTTTAATTTTTCTGATGACTAAAGATGTGAAACGCCTTTTACATATGATTATTGTATACTTAAGTACTGTCTTTGGTAGAGTTTCTGTTCCACTCTTTTGCCCTTTTTTTTTTCTTACTTTTTTCCTAACTAGTAACTTTTGAAAAAATGTATTATAGGTCAGACCTTTTGATTAGCCAAATAATACTTCTTACTCGGTGTCTTGACTTATCATTCTTAGTGTTTTCTGACACCTAGAAGTCAAGTTCAATCTAATGTATAATTTTTCTCAATTATGATTAATGTATTTTTGGTCCAATTTAAAAATCTTTGTCTACTCCAAAGATAATGACATTCTTTGGCATTTTCTTCTGGAAACTTTTATTGTTTTTCTTTCACGTTTAAATCTACAGTTCATCTCAGATGATTGAACAGCAGGAGATAAAAGATCAGGGTTCATCCAGGTGTGGCGGGGCATGCCTATGATCTGAGTCCTCAGGAGGCTGAGGCAGGAAGATC